ATATTCCTAACCACTGCTTGTTTAAGTGAAATCTTCATCTTGTAATTTACATGCCTTTTCCTCAAATGTGCTTGTTGATGTTAAAATTTGTTAATAGTGTGCCTACGAAACAGAATCATGTATCAAATTTCTCTAGAAGTAGAAAGAAATTGGATAAATTTTATGTTTCACATAATCATTTGATAGTGTACCTCGTACCCCCTTTTAGTTAGTTGATTTATTTCTTTCTTCTGTATTGTACTATTAGTAGAAAAAAATTATACTTCATCTTTTTATTGCTTTGGTGTTAGTGACATGCACAAGATGAAGTCTTTTGTCAGTTTTGTGATATAAGTGCTTAACTACAGCATGCATCTTGACTAAGCAATCAGAAGATGCTGCATGCGCTAGACATGCTAACAGCTTGTTCCTTGGGCTTTGTTATTCTGGATTCAGAGAAATGGGTTTCTGTTCATTGAATTATGTTATTTTGTTTCAATGAAGTCTGTTGTTGAAGGCTTCTGGTTCTGGCAGTGTATGTTTTTTCGTTTCTGCGATACTGGATTTTGGCTTCAGTCTGCTGCCCTGTTACAACCTTTCATGGTTTTATGCAGTTCATATGGCTTGGATGATGAGAAATTTGAAAATGAGCATCTTCCTTCAAACATATCAGACCTTGGACAGGTTTCTGCTTGCATAGTTCAAACTTGCTTTGTTACTTTCAATATAAATTCTTTCATTAATTTAAGATATTAACTTGTTGCATAACTTGTGAAAGATTGCACGTGCTGTGTATGATGTTGAGGAGGCTACATTCTTTGCCTTTGAAATCATACGTGAACACAAGGTAGACATTTTCCCCATCTGGAAATGTTTGTGTGGGTGCATGCTCATTTGCATTATCTGTTTTTGCTCTTTCTCCACCCATGATTTATATGCTTGCTCTGCAGATGATCAAACCTCACACCCGGGCTTCACTTATTAAATTTCTTCAACTTTTAGTGGCCCATCATCCTTCAAAGAGGTAAACACCATCTTTTTGGAATGGAATTTTCCATACCCAAACCAGTAATTACTTCATTGATCTACTCCAGATTATTTGTATTAGGTGCCGAAAGGGAAGTGCAGAAGTGCTTGTGAATTTTGATGAATTGTGTCCACCAGATATGTGGTCACCTGCCAAACAGGAAGCTGTCAATGATGATAAGGGGATGCTGGGGAATTTCCAGATTTGTGGGAAAGAAGTTCCTCGAGGATATTGGGTAAGTGTTTTTCTCTTTCCTTAAGGAAGGAAACATTCGCTGGTTTTATATTTTGATAATATCAAGCATTAGTCCGCCCAGGCCAATTTAGGACTGAAGTGTAGTGTAGTCAAATTGAACTATGTAGGCATGTTTTGACATTTACTAATAGTGGTTAGCATGTATATATTTTTGACTGATGTCTTTTGATATTTTGGAGAGAGGTTAATTATATATAATTTTTGTTGATGGGTACTGATATTAAATCTAAGATTACTGCAGAAATAAGCTCCTCTAAAATACTAAAAAATTTAATGAAGCCCCTCTCTTCTTTAGCAATTGTCACCCTTTTACTTGTACTTCTACAAATAGAAGCAAAATTGTCATTTTGGGCAAAAATGTTGCCACTCGCTAACCTTATATGATATAATCTGAGCTGATTTGTCTAAGAAGTAAAATTATAAATCGGCATTTGAATGCATAAGTTTAATGAAGCTTCTTTGTATATGAGGCTTAAATCTATCATCTAATGATTGCACGTGAGCATTTGTGTCTCTGGGATATATGCCATTTATTGATCTGTGGGGTACTGTACTCAAATATCAGCATGTTTTAAACTGTTTTGTGTGCCATTCTTGAAATGGTATCATGTCAGTGAATTTCTGTGTGATAATTGACAATTATTGAGTTATTACTTGCTATATTAAATTTCATTTTCTAAAATTATTGTGTGGTTAGTGCCTAGTTTGGACTATTGTTTTTTTCATCTAGCTATTGTTTTGAATAAGTAAGAATTGGTGGAACATAATATTATTTCAATGCTTTCAATATTGAAAATGGCATCTTAACATTTTTGGAGCCATTCAGTAATTTTAATGTTTGCAAAAGTGCCCACCGATCCATATGATAAGAGTGAACTAAGTTTGTGATTTTTTAAAATATCCATTCCAATTTGACTTCCATTGTATATTTTTTAGATATTTTTTAAATTTTTTTTGAGAAACTGAAAATTTGTTTGTGAGATCAAGCAATGATGCTTGGTTAATTTTTGTTGAAAATGTTATTTGTTACTGCCCTTTTACCTGTGGTAGCTTAGCTAATACTAGTTTGTGCCATGTTTTTAACTATGGCTTTCATCTTGTTACTTGTCAAATTGCTGGATTGATTTTCTTAATTTATTATTTTAACATGGCTGTGTGTTCTTTGTCAGATGTTTTGCCGTGGCAGCAAGAATGATACCAGGGGCTTTAGGTAACAGCATATTTTCCTTATTCCAATTATTTACAGGATGAACACTTTGTTCAGCATGTTTTAAGTTTTGCTATAGCGCTCTACCCAATTATTGATACACTAGAGATGGCGAGTTCATGTGTAGTGGTGCTACATTACTTGATATGACAAGGTGCATCCAAACTAAGCCTAAAATAGTCTCTTGTTACTCTTGTATCTGTTCACATTGGAGCATTTCTTGTAATGAGTTATTCAGCTTGCTTGGAAAGGATGTGTATAGTTGAAAAATATGAATTCATACATTGTCATGTTCTCCATTTTCTCCATTGTTCCATCACTGGGTATGTCAGAATTTGAGGACTGATCCACTGCTTCATTTTTTTGACCATTTTCCAAGATGTTTGACTAAAAAAAATGCAGATTTGCAAGAATGACAGTGGCAGTCCACACTCTGGGACTGTTAAATACATGGGCAGTATGGTTACTAGGGAAATAATAAACATCTTGGTGATAGTGGTGGACGCAGTTATCGCTAAGGTGGCAGCGATGATTGTTAGTGGTAGCATGTACTGTTATAGATGCTAGTGTCCAGAGAAGCTCTAAGTTTGCTTTCAGATTTAAGAATCATTTCCTTCTGCTGATAAGCAGTAATTTGCTTTATCTGCTCTGAAAATAGCAAATTTGAAGTGCATGGCAGTTTAACCTTTTGGATTCAGAAAGAAAGCATAAATTGCTTTTACTTTTTGTATGCCATTATCCATGCATATGTATGCGCAATCTTATGATAACTTCTATTATAATGTTTGTGAGATGGTATCTAGTATTTACTGCCGCTTGAGGCTTATCTTTTCTCTTATAAAAAAATGGCTCATCTGTTTCCCGGCTTACACAGTAATATAAAACTTGGCATCTCTAGTACTGTGTTCTCATGCGATGGAAACCAAACTCTTTTATTTTGAACAGCTATAACCCTTATAAAATTCCTCTACTGTTGAATTGTTTAACCAATCATCTTCCTTGTTCCATTTGTTTGTTTCGTCATTTGCAGCTGTGGTTTATGGGTTGTACTGCATTCACTCTCTGTGAGGATTGAGGATGGAGAGAGCCAGTTTGCATTCACTGCAGTATGTGATTTTATCAACAACTTCTTTATATGCGAGGAGTGCCGTGAACATTTTTATCAAATGTGTTCAAGGTAAAATCAACTCAGAATAAGTCACCTTTAGGCTCTCAAGCTCCTTCCTACTTATACAGGCTTTTCCAATTTGCAGTGTCACTGCCCCTTTCAATACATCCCGTGACTTTGCCCTTTGGTTGTGGAGTACCCATAATAAAGTCAATGAGAGATTAATGAAGGAAGAAGCTTCTGAAGGAACTGGTGACCCCAAGTTCCCAAAGATTATTTGGCCTCCAAAACAGCTCTGCTCTTCATGTCATCTCTCTAGTAACCAGAGAGAGAATGGAGTTGGTCAAATAGATTGGAACTTGAATGAAGTATACAAGTTCTTGACTGGTTATTATGGCGAAACTCTTGCATCTTTGTACAAGGAAAAGGATCGTCTTGGGGATGAAGTGACTGATGGGGCTATTGCAGATTTAGTGGCCTCAACGAACGCAGTGGTGGTGCCTGTTGGGGCTGCGTTGGCAATTGCACTTGCTAGCTGTGCATTTGGAGCACTTGCTTGCTACTGGCGTTCTCAGCAAAAAAACCGAAAGTATTACCACCAACTACACTCTTTAAAGAACATTTGATATTAACGAGGATGATGATCTTTTTCAAATTTGATATAAAGTATTAACTAAAAGAAAATTGAAAGGATGGTGAGATGCTTAAAATTTTGTGGTGAATTTTCTTATTTGTTTTCCTTCCCCAACATTTCAGGCCAAGGAGAAGCTGGAACTAAGATATTTAAAAAGGACAAAACCATACAGTCATTAAGGTGCCCAGTCGGGGTTCAATCAGACTCTCAATAGGAATCCAGATTACAATCTTACTGACCTGCTTTGAGGTCCTCCTTTGTACCCTTTTCTGGACATTTCCTTCCGAGCACGCTTTTGGATTCGACAGATTAATATTATAATTTCAATCTTACAAGAGATCATTTTCTACTCTCTTTATTTGCCTTTTCTTTCTTTGTTTTATTTTTTAAAAAAAATTATTCTCACTTTTAAAAACTGCAACGATTCACAGTTGAGCATGGATCTTATTAAGATAGAATGGATGCTGAAGTTCTAAGAGGGTATGACTGTTCCTTTGTATCCGTTGGATTTTACACTTGGAATGTGAGATTAATTCAGTGGACATTTTTATGAACGCAAGTACCATATATTGGCTCTGTTTATGTGCATTTGATGGTGTGAAAAAAAAAAAAAAGATATCTGTAACTTGGATTTTTAGCTCCTTGCTATCATACTTCTATTTCCTGTGAATCATGTGGAAAACATTTGCACAGGAAAGTTTGACAGTGGATAATACCTTTTTCTATCCTCCAGACTTGACTGTTAAACAATTTAGCTGATTGACAACTCTGCGTATCAAGTAATTTGGCATTGCTGCAAAAGATTAGATTTCAATTTCTAGCAGCTAGGGATGGAAAGATAGAGACTTGCACTCGATAGGTCAGTTTGTGTTCTTCGTATAAATGTTTGTATATAGATTGGAACCTTTTTTTACTGTACAAAGCATTTAGATGGTGGAGAAGTAAAGAAAATGCAAATCTAGGAATCTAAATCACTATTGTCTTCCAGGAACCGTCGTTTGTTTGTCACTGTCAACAAACAAGATACCGTGCTCTTTCAGAAATCAGAACCCATTAAACTTTGCCCCGTGAGGAAGCCACCTTGGGAATTTGATTTTTCTATCTTTTTTTCACATTTGAGAATGAAATTATCTCCATCTACCTTGAAACAAAATAGCAACTTGAAGATCTGGCAGATTCTAATGAACATTTATTATATGTGGTCGAGGCTGCAGGGTTGGATGCTCAGCATCTTCATCATATGAATGAAATGATGAATTTGGAGGCTCCTGTTGATCAACAATGAGACCAAAAAATAGGCAAAGAAAAATTGATGAGCATCGAGTATATAGTTCAACAGCATATCGTAAATGTAAAAAAAGAAGCACGAGATCGTTTACTGTGGCTGGAACCGACCTGATGGTGGCAGCAACGCTGGAGAGCAGTCACTGCTTTTAACATTACATAGATTGAAAGGATAATCCCAGCTGTTCGTAGAAATAACAACTGTCAAAAAAAGTAATAAAGTGTTGGTCTATGCTTTTCACACATGATTTCATCAATGTCTTTTCCAGTTGTAGTAGCATTTCAAATTGTTATACCATAAACACCGGGAATGAGATATTGTTGGTTCCATTAAGAACAAGAGGAAGGGAGTGCCTTAGAATTAAAAGAACCATGAACTGCAAGAGAACACACAGAGTAATGAGATTGTTAAAGGGACAACGCCATGGTGAAAAAAGGAATAATATAGTTATAAAAGGAAAAGAAATTATAAGAACATGATCTAATAAAATGGAAACATTAGCTTAGAGAAATGAATGTCCATAACACGACAGTTGTATCTCTTTCAAGGTTCTCATGGAAAATCTCCTTTCATATTTTATTCCAAACAAAAAGAGAGCAGAGAGACTTACAACTACAGCAGTTAACCGACAGTAGATTGCATTTCTTGTAGTTGAAGCTGAATACTCATCATAGTCATTGTTCAAAAAGTTACGTTCAGTTGAGACCACTGCTATGAAGTGAGGACCATACTCCCTTCTGGAAGTCTCCCAATTTCCCCTGATTAAAGTGTTGGAGCACATTGGTGAAGTTCTAGTGAAATGGAAATACAATTAGAACAAAAGTTTAATGAAAACCAAGAAGCAAGCAAGATCACCTGAAGTTCACTGGAAACCCAATTTGGAACAGAGGAGGTGGTGCTGTATAACCAGGCTTGAACTCCTGAAATCAATGAAATTTTGTACCATTAAAGCTATGGTCCAATTTGTTGGTAACAAAGACTAGGACCTCATGTCAACTACAAAGATTCCCCAGGACCAATGATAGTAGCTAGATTGAAGCTGAAAATGTAAGAACAAAATGTACCTGGAGGCATATCTCACATGTAGTGTTACCCTTCTCATTACACCACCTCTGTACGCACCTGCGATGGACATACTGCGAATATGAACAATCAGACATGAACATTGTCAGAAAGGGCAAGCTTCATATGATCGTATTGAAGGCTAAGTCAAGCTACACTAAAACAGTTGGCAAATTCATCTAGGAGACCAATGCATACCCTATCTATATGACATTCTGATATTTCAAGCTGGTTTAATAGCATGACAAACATCAACTCAAGTTTTGATGTTTAAGATGTTGATCTTTGTATGGTGGTAACAGGAAAACACCTTCAGTTTTTCCAAACCGCGAAACAGTAAAAGGAAAAAAGAAGAAGCAATGCAACTACATAAAGACCGAGGGAGGAATAGGATAAATTAATAAATCAACACCTTCTGGACCATACCAAAAAACATGTCCCTGTGGTAGATTATTTGGGCATATTTTTGAACTTCAAACAAGAAAACTCTGGTTAATGATCTCAGTATATTTTTCCAAGTTCAACCAGGCAAAATCAGATCAACTAACCCAACTTGATGCTTGAGTCATTCAGCTATTAGCTATCTACCAAACTTTCCATTTTCCCTCCGGGAAAGTAAGGACTGTGTATAATGATCATGATATTAACTCTTTTTTTTTTTTTTGGCTGTATGACTGTATCATATAAGATGTGATCCACGGTACATGCCAGTTAAGCAAGAGCGATGACAAGGGTTTCTCATGCAAATCTCAGTATGGAAGTCTATATGAATCAACTTATCAGAAAACCAAACGATCGCACGGTCCAATCACGCGAGGAAAGAGAATATCGGTTGTGGTCTTTTTGTAGGAAAGAAAGGAAGCCTCCTCGAACATCGCAGTGATGATGAACTTTTCCAAACAATTTGGTGAGTTATTCTCCCTCCAAAAGGCAAAACAATTGTACAGAAAGACCGAGGCATTGAGTTTCAAACTTAATGACTTTGACTTCAGACCACTTGGCAACTTTACTTTGAATTCCAGAGTAGATAAAAAGAAAGTAACGAAACTATACTTTGGCAGTTGACTAACACTCATTCTCATATGCATGAAAAGAATTCATAATTCTCCAAAAAGCACCGATATAAATGAAAATTATTTTTGGTTGATAAAGAAAAATAAAAGCTCAACGAACCTTCAAGCTGCCACAACAAGAACATGGTGTCTCCATATTGGAATCATCATCCTCATCCTGGCATATCCTGCACTCCACCAATTTCCTTGGAGTCGATATATCACCAAAATCCACTTTCTGGAAAGATTTATCAATTTTAGTGTCATCAACTGTTGATGCTGTGGCTTGCATCGACAGGTTTCTGCTCTCAATTGCAGCTTCTAATGTGGATTCAGTTAACAGCCGATTCACAAGCAACACAAAATGATCCCCCATCTCTCAATTTTCCAAAACAACTACCACTTGATGAATCTCTACTAATGTTCAAGAAATTCGAGTCCAGAACCAAGCTGTTGTGAGCCCCCTTGAGAATAAATAATCACTGTGGATGGAATAAAACAAGGAAATTTTGAAGGTTAAGTACTTTAACAAAAACAACCAAAAAAATGTTACAGAAAAAGAGAAGACGACATAAATATAAGGCGGAAAAAGGGAAAAATTCAGAAAAAAGAGATACAACTTTGTGGAAAAAGGCTGTAACAAAACTGCCAAACAAGTGGCATCACACAAAGAGACCAACAATCACAAGAAATGGAAAGGACCCAGATGAGGAGAACACAACTATAAGCATTAAAAAAAAAAAAAAAACCACAAACAAGAAACGGAGAAAACCCAAAAAGGGACAAGGGAAAGACAAAAGATCAAAAGAAAGAAAGCTCTCATATGCAACGAAAAGGAAAGAACTTTACCAATTCAACAGGTAAAAGAAATAAAATGAGAATCAGCAGAAGAAAAGGCGGTATAACGAAAAAGATGGCAAGAAAGGAAACAAAGGAGAAACGTACAAGAAAGGGATCGTAATTTCTTCAAGCTAAGAATATAGGTCTTACAATGAGTTTTATAAGTGGTCTGTGTTGGTAGCTTTCTTTAGGTTTTTTGGTTCATCTCGTCAGGATTTTTCAGATAATTTTATAATCTTAAAGTGTAAAACTTCAATGTACTCATTCTTTTTTTACTTTTCTCCCTTGTTGCCCATTTCTCTTCTTTCTTCTTCTATTTTTGGATTTGCTTGTTCTTTTTTCTTGCCATTTGATCTAATTAATTGCTTTATGCGACTTTGACTAGGATGCATATGAAAATTAAATTAGAACGAAAAAGCAAGGGGAATGACACATAACTTGAAGGATGAAAATGTAAAGCTTTTAAATGTTTGGTTGTCATGGTGTATGGCATGGCCCTCTCATCCTAATGCCTGCTGTCGCCCTTGCAAAAAGCTCTGCCACCGCATACATATGTATTAACCAACCACCTGCTAATAAGATGATTAACATAATCCACAGAAAATACGGGTTCTTAGTGGTAAATATGATGGTTTCCATCTTCACACTACACTGCTCCTCATGATGCACACATATCGATGTTTAATATAAGCAATAGACACTGGAGCGGGGACTTGTCTTGAAAAAATCTTGTTCGAAATGGGGTTTGCAAGCTTTGGATACAGCTTTGTCATGAGATGCATTGCTTAGGTTTCTTATTCTACACAGTTTTCTCTCTGGGAAAGAGGCCTTAGTAAAAGTGGCCGCCTCTCATCCTATCCTTTTCTTTTATGTGCCCAAAAATCTCTGTGCAATGATTTGAAGCCATGACAGATTGGATGTCTTTTAAAGTCACATTATGGCTGGAATCCTATCGGTCACTCATCTTTTCTTCGCTAACGACAACCTTCTTTTAATTACCACTGCTTCTAATTTGGAGGCTTAAAAATTCATCCAAATAATCCATGATTATGAGCATGCTTCGAGTAAGCAAATCATCAACTTAGGTAAGTCGAAGATCTCCGATTAGAGATGGGTGTGAAGGCAATTGAGAGTTACGATAAGTATCCATGGTCTTTCCTCCATGCTTGATCTCTCCAAGAAGATTATTTTTTGCTCCATTTGAGACAGGGTTAGCGAAAAAAACCCTCAATGGATGGAAGAAGAAAAGCATTTCAAAGGCAGGTAAGGAAATCCACATCTAATCAACAGTCCAATCAATCCCAACTTAAACTTTGATTTTTTTCTTCTTAATCCACTAATACCACGCCATCATTGAGGCGTTAACAAGAAAATTCTGGTGGAATAACTCTGGTGAAGGTCGTGATATCCCATAGGTAGCTCGGGATAAAATGTGCAAGGAAAGAAAGATGACAGTTTGGGTTTCTGGATGGGATACATCTCATTTCAACCTTGCTCTCCTCGCTGGACAAGGTCCGAGGTTGATTATGAAACCAGACTCCTTTATCAAAGCTAATTACTATCTCAAGGTCGAGTTATACACGGACAAGCTGTAAGTTAATTAGCAGAGGAGAGGAGTTGTTGTGGATTCAAATTGTCCCTAGAGATGCGGCAATGAAGAAGATCAGGCTCACATATTGAGAGACTGTGCTCTACTTTCAGAGTATGGAATTTAAGCTCTTCATCCGTGGAAGTCCAGTCTCACGAGAAATCTACTTTTAAGAAGTGGAGTCGTGCTCTCTGGGAAGATTTTAGTTGTTTTCATACGTTGCCTGCTCTTTGTGGAAAAGTAGAAATGTTAAGATTTTTCAGAACAGATCAGGCATGGATGCAAATTTTCAACCTAGATGTGGTCACTATCATCCTCCTAGAGAGATTGCCTTCATTGCTAAAGATGGATTAAGCATTGCTAAGAACTTTCTTCTAACTTCTTGTGGTGTGCATGTGAGAAAAAGTGGAAATAGTGTTGGAGAAGCTAATGATCTTTATTTTCCTAAAAAAATAAAAAGGGTGATCAGAAAGATGTCCTAATCTGTTATGAATCTTATTCTGTTCTTTTGTTCAACGCAGACTTTGATTTTTTAAAGCTAAATTATCTTTATTTTCCTAAACAAATAAAAAGGATGATCAGAAAGATGCCATAATCTGTTATAAATCTCATTCAGTCATTTGTTCAACGCAGATTTCGATTTCTCAAAGATAAATGGTTTATACCAGTGCTTAAAAAAACAAATATTAGTGATTCTCATGATGACGAGACAAAATACCTTCAAAACAAGCTAATAACCATAGAACTTGGAGAGAGAGAAAAAATACATTAGACAAATGCTAGGAGCATTCACTTTTGACAGCAGCCTGCAACACTCGCTTCATGTTTGTAAGATTATTTAAGATGAATGTAAGCTGGTTTAAATATTTATATTAATTAAAAAAAATTATTAAAAAGAACACCAGAAATAGTTTAGCTATTATTATATTTGTGACTCCCCTCGGCCGGCTATTTTTTTTATAAAAAAATAATGCTAAGGAAAAAGATTTAAGACTCCAATAATTAATTTATTTGGTAATTTAAATAATATGAATAAAAAATATAATTATAATAAATAAATTAACAGTAAAATCAACAATAAAAAATATATATAAAAAAAGTTATAAGCCTTTCCAAATTTTTAAACAACCATTGTTGAACAATAATAAAAAAACAAAAACAAATCTTAATTAAATCAAGTTAACTTATAAACTTCACAATCATGAATATAAAATTAAGATAATCTCATAAAAATAAAAATACAAAAGAAAATATAAAGATTAATTTCTAATAAACCAAATAAGAATATAATAACTTTATATATAAAAAAAAAAGTTTGAAGCTTGATTTCTAGAAAATAAAATATTATAGGATGAAAATTAAAAAAATATATAATTAAAAAAAATCTAAAAAACTCGATATGAGTCCACTCAAATTAAGACGTAAATATGTAACCTAGTTGTGATACTAAGATAATTACATTTGAAAGCAAACTAAATAAAATCACAAAGCTTACTTATCAAACAACATGGTATTGAAACATGAAAATAAAAAATAAATTTAATTAAAAAAAACAACAAAAAAAAAAATTATGGTCAACTCAAGTTATTTCGCTAACCCATCAAAAATGGACACAAGATCTGGATAACTTAATTAAAAACAAAATGAAGATTAATTGTTAATATATTAAATGTTGAATGATAAAATAAAAATAAATTAATTTAAAAAATAAAAAAATAAAAAATAATTTGCATTAATTTTTGAAACCAACTGCTCTTATCATGAACCCGAGACTAACCTTATAAAAAACAAACTATAAAAAATAACAAAGCAAAAACATTAATTTGATCTCTAAAACTAAAAAAAAAAAACATCATCTTAAAAAAAAAAGAAGCAAAAACATGCAAACCTTCTAAACCTAATTTAATATCTAAAATTTAAAACTTGTGAAATTCTTGATCCAAGTTCAATGAAAAAACTTAATTCCTTATCAATTTAATTTTGAATAATAAAATTATTAATTTAAAAAACTTGTCAAAACAAAAATGATGGCAATAAAAGGAATGCAAATCAAATTTGATAGAACAAAAAACCAAGGGGGATGAAACTATAAAAAAATAATTAAAAATGATCTCACACAAAATAAATAATATTCAAAAAAATAATGATCAAATTTCAAAGAATAATAAATAGAAGAAGGTGAAATTTAAAAAAAAAACATTTATAGTTTTATAGATTATTTAAAATAAAAAAATAGTAATTGACCAAATGCGAATGAAAAAGAAATTGAAGGGGTTAATTTAACATTTTAAAAAGTTTAATATGGAATTCGAGGAGAAGAGAGAAGAAAAAATATTATCGACACTAGATTAGAGGCATGTTTAGTGTACGTATCGCCTAATCACAAAGGGAGTATTAAAATCTTTTAAATACAACCGTGAAAAATAGTTTTTGGTGACCAGATAACTCCATTTATGTCACCCAAAAAATATTAAGGCTGCTTACTCACTAGCGTGTGTGCAAGCTAACATGGCTTTCTTAGAAAAATATTTATTAGATGGTCAAGTGCAATAATATCACCGAGACCAAGAAAACACAAATCTCCGAAAGCGCCATCGATGGCAGCAACCAAAATTCTCCTCTCTCTCTTCTTCCTCTTCTGCTCCCTCTCCTTCTCCTCCTCCATTCCCACCGAAACCCTCCGTGAAGCCATTGTAATCCTCTCGAATTCCGGTTACCTATCGATGTCACTAACCCTCCCGTTAGTCTCCAACTTTAATCCCACACACTCCTTCTCTCACAATCTTCTCTCCGTCTGATACTGCATTTACTCAATCAGGCCAACCCCCTCTCTCTATCCTCCGCCTCCACTTCTCTCCACTTTCTTTCCCTCTCAATTCCCTCGAGCCCCTCTCTCTAGGTGCCAAGATCCCATCTGTTTTTCCAAATTATTCACTTACCGTCACTTCTACAGGCGATGATGTTTCACTAAATGGGGTTGAGATTAAAGATTCGCCGGTTTATGATGATGGTTCTTTGGTAATTCTCGGGGTTGATAGATTCTTCGATACGGGTTTTGGGTCTTAGGGTCAAAATCTTGGATGTTCTGTTAAGGCTAGTAGTGATTATTACTCGTTTAATGAGGTTAGTAGGGTTTTGAAGTCAAAAGGCTACTCTGTTATGGCCTCTTTTCTTGATTTGAAATTAATGGTGGGCATTACGGACAAGACTGCGTTAACAATTTTTGCTCCTGTTGATGAAGTGATAAAGGCTTTTCTCGGGGATTTGAGGGAGTACTCTTCAATGTTTCTCAAGCATGTTGTTCCTTGCAAGATTATGTGGGGCGATTTGGTTAATTTGGATGATGGGGTTGTTTTAGAGACTTATTTGGAAGGA